CTTTTTACAACCAAAAAAGTCAGATGTTTTCAATATCTTTAAGTTTTTCTCCAACTCCTAAACGATGCACCAAAGCGAAAAATATATCGTTAATAAATTTAAAAAACGTTAAATTTTGCATCGAATGATTACATAAAGTTTACCAAATTTGTCTGAGACAAAGTACTATAAATGGCCCAGTAACTTGGAAATGTGTTCCCTTGGAGGAAAAACCCTGGCCTTTGTACTCAAAGTTGAAGAGCATCAAATTTTGTATCCAGTGAGTATCAAATAATTTAATGTAGGCCACACACAAAATCGGTAATCACCCAATGCTTAGAAATTAGTAATGAAGGTAAACGTGATTTTCAATATTTCAACAGTATGGGTGTCTATTCTACCAAGTTATTATTATTTTTTTAACTTGTATATATGGAAGCCCATGCCTAAACAGACATGCAAATAAAGAAATTGACAACGCGAACCACCAAGGGATTTTTTCAATATTTTTTTGTTTTTTCACATATAACTTCTAAACGATGCATCTATGCGAAGAATTTAGAAATTTTGCATAGAACGGAAACATAAATTTATTAATTTGGTTAAGTGTATATAATAGTATAAAATTCCCGCCAACCAACGCAGATTTTTACCAAATTTCTCAAAAACTGAGAGAAATTACTTTAGATGACCCTGCAGCTTGGAAATGAGATTCCTTAGAAGAAAATCCCATAGAATTAAAGTTGTAAACCATCAAATTTTGCGTGCACTGAGTACAGGCTTATAGGAAAAAGTACCTAATGCGATAATAATTAGAGATATGACTTATTTTGTTTCAATAGTAAAAACTTTTTAATCAGTTTTGAAACCAAGAAAAGCTGAAAACTCGAAAATCTATAATTTTCACCTATGTGTTTCACTTGTAATCCCACGATATAATTCGCGGTATAGACACCGTTTTATCAAATTATTGAGTGAGTCTAAAACCTCGTAAATGAATTCATCATATTATTATCTACAACTTTTTTAAATGGTCAACTTCTTCATTCAAGTTCTGAACATCTGTGGCTCTAGTGCCCTCCTTCAGCCTTGGCATACGAGTGACACGGCCGGAAGGGAGTCACTGGGATCTCCTGTAGTTCTTTCCTTTGGGATCTTCCTGCTTTCCCTTTCACTTTTGGAGCGCAAAGCATGGCTCGGGGTTCCCTGGGTGAATGTAAATATTGTACGTAGGAATGAATGTATTAAGATAATTTATTTTATTTTTACTGATCGATTTATTTCTTATCTCGCTTATGTATTATTTATGTATGTTATTCTATTTTTATATTTACTTTTTCATAGTTTACTCATTTATTTTTATTTATTCCTTCCTTCAATGTGGCAGATTACTGTTATACCATTTACTGTTCAATAAAAAATACAATATAAAATTTAATGAGCTATTACAAACTCATAGCTACCCATTATTGTTTTTATATACTTTAATCGTAAGATAAACTTCATCTCATCGTAATCTGTAACTATTTTATTTACGAAAACTTTGGAAATTGGGACGTTTTCAAGCTGAAGATCGGCAAACTTTGTCTATTTAATTAGGTAGTAAACACCTATGTTTTCCACTTGAATCGTAAGATAATTTGATCACCAAATCGAGATAAAACATTGCCTACAGAAATATTGGGCCGTTTGGCCTATATGACCTCTTCATACCTTTTGGTATGACCTGTGGGGGGATGGAGGTCACACCGTTCGATCCAATATTTTTGTCGTTTTTTATATTGATCCAGTTGCCTATTGGTCAGTAATAAATTAATCAAAATAAGAATTTTATTGCAAATTTACTGAAAGTTTCGAGGAAAACTTCGCTCTTTCTTCAGCATTATATTATTCTTCTGTCGTAAACCGATGACTTCCTGTCCTTCAGTATCCATTAACAACACCTCACTTATTCCTGTTGAACAAATCCGTTACCTAGGACTCCATCTGGACAAACGTCTAACTTGGAATCCTCATACCAGACTGAAACGACAAGAAACCGCTCGACGTTTCCGACTACTTCAACACTTACTAGACAAACGCTCTAACCTTCCAATCAATTATAAAAGACTGATTTACATGACTATAATAAGGCCTATTTGGACTTACGGGGTTGAGCTATGGGGCTCCACCAAGCCTTCAAATTCCTCTCGCATACAGTCCTTGCAATCCAAAATCCTTCGTAAAATCCTCAATGCTCCTTACTTTGTTACAAATAAAATTATCCATAATGACCTTAATGTTCCTTATGTATCAGATTTGGCCAAATCCAGATATCTGTCCTTCCATAATAAACTTCATAACCATCCCAACCCTCTTGTCTCTAACCTTGCTTCCTATTCGATTCCTGATAACCCTCCGAGGCGTCTGAAAAGAAGATGGCCACGTGATCTTATAATATAGACATATTATTAGAGTGCTACCATTGGGTAGTTTCTCAACATGTGTTCCATGTCTTTATACCAATGTGCAAATTTACTAGATGTGTTTTTTTGTATACAGTTGTAAATATCATTTAAAATAAAAAAAAAAAAAATTATTCTTCCAAGTAATTGTGTGTCACGAAATTCAATTATTTAAGTACCATTGACTACAGGCGGCTCTACGGGGGGGGGCTTTCGGGCTGAACTCCCCTCCTTCCAAAATGGTGAAATATAACCACGTTTTATCCAAAATATTATCTCTTAAAGTATTATTGTTCATCTAATTACATTTAATAGGACTAAAAGAAAGAATCACTTAAACACCATTTTATATAGTAGTTAGTTTCTTTTTTTTTCAAATTAATTATCGCTTTATATATAGTAAAAAAACAACTTTCGAGCTGGAGCTCCCCTCAAAATTAAATCCTGGGTTCACAACTGCATCTTTCTCGTTTACTATTCTCCCTCATCCCATCCATACAGCTCCAGATGGTGGGTGTACAGGATTCCCACATCCCTAGACTGGATCCTAGTACGAGTTTGGTCGCATTTTCAATGGGAAAATTTTTGAAAATACAAATCCACGAGGGTGAAAATAAGACTAGGCTAATTTCGCACAATAGTTTACTCATCGCTATTAAATAATTAATACTCATTTGTCAACAATAACACCTCTGACCACGGGTGCCCATCTCTCCCCTCTACGTCCATATTTTATTGCTGATCTTTACTATAACCCAGAGCAAAGAAAATTAGAATTAGAAAAATTGTAGATCATATACTGCAATTGTAGATCATACACTGCATTCTGTACCACATTTTCCCCTTGTTCCTTATTCTGAAACTTTTCATTCCGAAAATTCACAACCCCGTTGAAATGTGCCTCCGGCCCCCTCAAATATTTTGCACCCCTGCCGCTGATAAGTATATGGTATCAGACATTAAAACTAGGATCATGAAATCTATAATATAGATATTTCATTCAGCGCATCTTGAAATAAGCCTCGGAAATGTGATCCATTTTTAGGCTGGATGAACATGCACACTTATTCCATTATGAAAAATTTTGGAATATGTTTCATTGGCCAGGTTATAAAGAAGTCGTATCAATCTGGAGGATCTACGAGGATGGAGGCTTTCAGACTGTAGCCCGAAAAATGGACTTCCCTCCCCTCCAAAAATGAAGAATATATTTTATTTAATGGTTCATATTTGTTTATATGAGTGATATATAAATGATTGAAATAATGTATACACAGCTACTGAATGTAAGCACGTGTCAAGAAATAATGTAAGAAATTTATCTCTAAGCAGCATTGTTCCTATAGTTACGGTTTGGCTCTTCAACGACTACTTAAACATACGAAATGATGTTGGTAGTTTTTTTTATTTTCTTACAAATTAATTACTGTTATTAAAAGAATAAATCATGGATCTGCTACAGCTCTAAAGCTGGACAAGATCTATAAGGAATCAGATGTTGTCTTTTTAATACTTATGAGAAGATTAAGATTTAGGACCTACGGAGGAAGGAGATATCGAGCTTAAGCATCCCCACCACAAAAAAAATGGAAACAAGATTTTTTTTTTTCATTTGTCCTCATTTGTTGCTGTGAGTGGTTTAAGCTATAGACTTAAACAATCACTATATGTTCTTTTTTAAAAATATGTAGTGCCTATACTACTAAATATAACCATGTCTTATGAAAAAAATATTTTTAAAACTGTCTCTAAAAGTATTACAGTTCGAGTTATAAATATGACTTCTAGAATCACTCGTAAACATCATTTCATATAGGTAGTTAATTTCTTACCTTTTCTTTCAAAGTAATTATCGCTATTTGCATTTTAAAAAAACAAACTTTTGGTCTGCAGCTTCCAAAATTAAATCCTGGATCCATTACTGCCAGATATTCTTATCCTGAGATAGTCATTTCCATAGAAATTGTATGAAATCAGAACATATGATTGACCAAAACTCAGCTGTTAGGACGGAACTTAGCTCTGCAGTCGAAAATGTTTGGATGCTGAAAAGGATGCTCCTGCTGTCTTGTGTTTTCTCTCTTTTGATATAAAGCTCAGACACAGAGTTATATAGTTAAAAAAGGTGGAGTTACGAGGTTTTTATTGCTTATCGTCAATATACTAAATAGAGTTTGTGTTATTTTTTTTGTTTTAATAAGTTTTTTAGAGGTTGACCCTGAGATTTAGCTCCGTTAAAATTGGACTTCAAAAACTTTGTAATCGTTCAACTTTGTCAGAATTATTCATTCTATATTCAATTAATCAAGAAATATTCAATATTCAAAGAAGAGAGGTAAGTGTAACTTGTGTGATGCACAAGCCAATTTTTTTCTTTTTTGTTTTGTAATTAATTTACTGTAATAGTCACGAGAAATTTTCGCAAAGCAAAGAAAATCAACTTCCATTAGCCACCAGGCACAAAGGCGAAGTGACATAACTCAGAAGTGGGCGTGGCCCCAGTAAGAGGGATGAGTGGGCGTGGCCTAGCGGTGGGCGTGTCCAAGACTTTTCCCTCAGCCTTCAGTCGAGTGCAGGATGCCAGACTTGAACGGCGAACTGTCGCTCCGCAGGTCCTACCTTCCGACTGCCGAGAGATACGGTCAAGACAGGGTCAGTCTATCTATCTCTTCAGTTTCTTTATAAGTTTAAATTATTGTTCTTTCCAACTTCATGAATATATTACGAGATAATTAATTTATTTATGATCTGCTTTTGTTGGGAGTGTGCTATATGCTTAAATGCAATAAATTTATGGGCAAATGGCTAATACATTTCTATTATTCCAATTATATCGATTGATGTTATTTATTTAACTATTAATGTTATTATTAAACTTCTTGATCCTTTCATCTTTCATCACCCGTATGTGAACTTCTTACGGCTTTTATTAGAGGAAAATGTGACTAATTTATGACCTATGAAGTACTGATAGAATCAGGAATCATATTGAATAAATTTTTATTATGAATTCATACGTGCCACGGATTTTTTACCCCGCTATCTGAATCTGAATTGTAAAAAAAAATTGAAATAGTTTTATAATGAAGTAGAGATGGTTTACCGTGATATATATGAGAAGGAGGTGTTCGGAGGGGGGAGGGTCAAATAAACACTAAATTTAAAAAAAAATAGTATTTTTAATTGTTAAATATTTATTTTATTTATTAAATATAAATAAATAAAAATAATATTTTAATTATCAATTAAAAATACTATTTTCAAAAAATTTAAAAATAGTATTTATTTGACCGTACCCCCGACTAACTCCAGCTCATGACAAAGTTTTAGTCAATCAATATAATACTATGAACCTCAATTTGTCCATAATATTTTTTTTTTTAGATTACTTGCTTATTGATAAATATTACAATCTGTCTCAATAAAGGACACTTATAATATAGTTCAGAGGGCACATTCACACCATATTTAGAATATCAAAAAATAAATAAATAATTTCAAAATAATATAAAGCGAAATAAGAACAAAATAAAATATCATAGTGAGGGAAGAAAATAGAAATAATAGTAATAATAAAATAGAAATAAAATATTCTTTAAAAAAGTAATAAAAATAAACATCTTAGACCTTCCCACAATCATTAATGAAAATGTGAGAAAAAAGTTATATGAATTTTCTTGTTTCTAATAAAATTTTTTCTACTCTTATACATCCGTAGATACACTTTTATATGTACTTGAAAAGTATATTTCGAAATGAAAGGTACATTAAAAAAAAAATACTAAATTTGATTTCAACTTCAAATTTAAAAGAAGTCAAAATATCATAGCAATCGGTGAAGAGCTTTTGGAGATAAGCGGTTTTTGACAAACTAACAATTACATTTTTATTTATACAGAGCGTTTCATAATTGCACGGAACTATTTTAGGTATGTGTTCACTAACGCAAAATAAACAAAAAAGTTCATATTAACATATATCTCAAACTCATTTATTAAACAGATATTAAAGGTTAAAGATTTATTATTTATTTACTACATTAAGAATGACTGTACAAATTTTAACGAGTTTAACACTACATAACAGGTTTTAATCACCTAATAAACAAATGAACGATAAGCAATGATAGTAGCTGCTCATCTGTTTGTCTATTTATTATTACTATTTCTTTATTATTATTACAACAGTTAGAGCAGCACCGTTTCTATGTACCTCGCCATTAAGTTAAAAGCATGTCTGTTTGTTTAGCATAAATTTGTAAGTGAATAAATTTATATTGTCTACCATGATAATCCTAAATTGAACTGTGTCACAGTATTCACTCACACTAAAACACACAGAACTGGACAAACAGATGAGCAGCTACTGTCATTGCTTATCGTTCATTTGTTTATCAGGTGATCAAAACCTGTTATTTAGCATTAGTAGTAAATAATTAATAAATCTTTAACCTTTGAAATCTGAGTTTGAGATATATGTTAATATGAACTTTTTTGTTTATTTTGCGTTGGTGAACACATACCTAAAATATTACCGTGCAATTACGAAACATCCTGTATAGACTGTTTCCAAAAATATTTTTAAGAAACACTCAAGCTCGTTCGAGAGGAGTGAGAATAAAAAACTGAACTGTTTTGTCTTTATTTATACAATGACATTTTAATTTTTTTTTTTTTCATTTTTGTGTATATTAATATTTCTTCTATCTTTATAATGCCAATTGAAAAAATATAGTTTGTTAAAAATAATCATGATCATTTATAAAAAATTAATTATGTAATATAATATTAGTTCTCAAATATAAAATCTTAACTTTTCAAGTAGAGTCAGAGGTTTTCAGAAGAAGGTTTCATGGGGCAAGTCGCGCCATAAAAAGTTTTCAGGGGAACAAACTTTGATGGATTTTTGAATTTTTGAAGGGGTTATATTTTTGGAATAATAGTTTGAAACCAAAGGACAAGGTGAAAACATGGAACAGTCCGCAGCAAATTGTATATCATCTACTATATTTATAATTTTATTTTCGCTTACACTGCTTTTAAGAAAAGGAGAGCAATAAAATATATTAGGAAGGTGGAAGGTTCGTACAATCGACCTGGGGAGAGGGCGGAGGGAGATAGGCATCCCTGGTTGACCATCATTGGTGCTTCTTGAACAATTATAATCTTTGCTTGTCCATTCAAATCGACTTTAAATTTCCTTCAGATGTTTTAATTAGAAATAAAACTGTGGTATGAAAAAAAAATTAAATAAACTTTGAGAGAGCATAATTCAATGTTAGGTCAGGGTTAAAAAATAGAATATATGTCTATCTTTCGAAAATGAGTATAAGATAAATTTCACTAGAATGTTTAAAAGTAGTATAAAAATTATTGACTTAAATAATTTTATTTTTAAATTAATTTGGATTTAATGAAGGAAATTTTTGTTTCCATTTTGGTGATATGAATTTCAGGGATGATGTTATTTAAACACAAAGGTATTCAATAACACTACATTTATTATCATGAAGATAATTGTGTCAAGTCAGAAATATTGTATGATTTCGGAGGTCATTCCATTTCAAATCAACTATCCAAAAATTAGTTTTATGATTTCATTATTATTATTATAATTATTTTTCGCCATTCTTATTATTTAGGTAAAGTTTTATTTTGATTTTTTAAATTAGTTTTCCAAAATCTATGAAAAAATATGTTTTAACACGGAAACTGGGATTTCTGATATAATTGACGTAAAAAAAAATCATTAGTTTTGCAACTTCCAACGTAACACAATGATTTCTACACAAAAATGTTTATTATGGCATACTGAATAATAAAAAAAAACATTTAGAATAATATGAATTAAATCATACAGTCATTATAAGCTCAAACTTATACTTCATAAATGTTTTGAAGAAAAAACGTAAATATAAATTAAGATTTTAATATTTACGCCACTCTTAAATATTTGATTCTATATTCCTGTAAAATCAGAAAAACAGCCACGTATACATCCTCTATTTCATTTAAATTACAAAGGCTACACAATATTTATTCCTCATAACACTATTGTTTAGAAATAATACTTTTTCATGTAATTTAAATATACCTTTAATAAAATGCATTTTATTTACATCTGATATGTAATGTCTTTCACCTAAGTCGCTGTTTAAATCCTTATAAATGTCATGAAATCTCTAGATTTTTCACTCAAACTTTTTAAGTATTTTCTAATTTGGTTAAAATGCGGAAAATTATTTAATATCGCTAGTGTATTCTATCGTGATATTAATTCTATTACAGAGCTAAGTGTTTTCTTTGTGCCAAAATATTTTCTGTTTATTATTTCTTTAGCCAAAATGTTCAGTAATCTTGATGCTGGTAAAGAAAGTACCGTTTGTATATACATATATTGCAAATGTAATGATAAAGTATACAAGAATATTAGTTTAAAATTTTCATTAAAAAACTATATATATATTTTAAGATGAAAAGATAATCCTTAAAGTAAAATTTAATAGAGTCTGGAATAACACTGATAATTTTTTGACTGTCCGGTGCAGTAGGTATAAAAATTATTCCCAGACTTCGTTTTTCGGAAAAAAATATTCTCAATCATTTAGTGATTTAAATAAATATCTAGATAATTATGATATAAACAACATTTTAATAATAATTTTTACAATTGAAGAAATTTAAAAACGCATACTACGTGCAATGTCAAACTTATTTATTGTTGTCTTATTCATTAAACTTCTTTATTACATAACGTTATTAATAATAAATTTTGAAAAAATTATTCCTACTTTAACAGATTTGATAATTAATTTTATAGTTTATAACTTTTTAGTTTGTAATCAACTCATGATATCCACTTTATAAATTATCTATAATACCCCATCCTTACTTCTCGATATTAATCTTATTTGTTATTTTCTTTTTCACCTTCATTTTTACTTTAATTTTGTATAATGACAAGGATATTTTTAATATGACTTTATACTTTTCCAATTTATTTTGTTGAAACATTCACTGTCCAAGGTTCTATTAAGGATTGTGGTCTATCTAAATCACCTATTCGATTCAACCATACTATAATATTAAACATTCTGAATTCGATACATTTTAATCGGGAGAAAGATCTATGAATTTCATCGTAGCTATATTAAAAGTTGACATTATTAAATACAAAATTATTAGTAATGTCATTCCATTGACTTATATGATTTTGTATTTTTAGTATTACATATGATTAGTAAGTTTTCTAAAATGTTTTCCATATATATATATATATATATATATATATATATATCCCGAACTAAGGGAGAGCAAAAGAGAGGGGAGGCACACAAAAATTACAGGACGCCAAATTTTTTTATGTTTAAATAAATGGGTTGTTGTTTAATAAGATGATAGAAATGGGTTGTTGTTTAATAAGATGATAAAACTTAATATCAAAGACGGACCACTGTCATTTTAAAAAAAGTTGAAAAAAAACAAAACAATTTATCGTAACATAACTTGAATTTAAACTATTTCTAATGATTTGTTGCATGATTTGACTTGAAATTTCTTAAATAATACAGAAATTGACTTTTTCTTCGCTTACTGAAAATTACGGATGCCCGTCTCTGATATGAAGCCACTTATATGTTTAATATTAATTTC